CCTTCTCCTCTCTATTGTCATCGGTTTATTCTCTACAATTAAGAGTCTGTTTTGTCTCCCTCCCTCTTTTTTCCCCCTCTGCTCATTTTTTTGTTTCTTTTTTTTTTTTCTTCTCAATATTTTTATTTATTTCTAGGAGAGAGAGAGAGACAGTGTGAGCAGGGGAGGGTCAGAGAGAGAGGGAGTCACAGACTGAAACAGGCTCCAGGCTCTGANTCTTTCTTTGTTTTGGTTACATGCTTTGAGCGGTTATTTGTTAAATATCTTCCAAGTGTATCCCTTAATAACGGATTAAAAGCATTTAAAAAGAATGCACTCTTTTTTTTTAAAATTTTTTAAATGTTTTTATTTATTTCTAGGAGAGAGAGAGAGAGACAGCGTGAGCAGGGGAGGGTCGGAGAGAGAGAGAGGGAGATACAGACTCTGAAATAGGTTCCAGGCTGAGCCGGCAGTCAGCACAGAGTCCGACGCGGGGCTCGGACCCACGAACTGCGAGATCATGACCCAAGCGAAAGTCGGACGCCCAACCGACTAAGCCACCCAGGCGCCCCTCATTTTTTTGTTTCTTAAATTCAATATATGAGTGAAATCATATGGTATTTATCTTTCTCTGACAGACTTATTTCATTTAGTATAATACTGTCTAGTTCCAACCAAATTGTTGCAAATGACAAGATTTTATTCTTTTTTTATGGATGAGTATGAGTAATATTCTACTATATATATATAGTTACATATAAATAAAATACATATAAATGTACATATATATAAAATACATATAATACACATAAATTCATATAAATATATGCATGTGTCTATATATGATACATATATAATACATATAAATAAAATACATATAGTATTTTATTTTGACCTTGATACAATAGTTTATTTTCTGCTTTGTTTCTCTTGCCTGGAGAGTCATATCTAGAAAAAAAGTTGTTACTGCCAATGTCAAAGAAGTTACTGTCTGTGTTCTCTTATAAAATTTTTGTGGTGTGCTGTCTCACATGTAGGTCTTTAATCCATTTTGAATTTATTTTTGTGTTTGGTATAAGAAAGTGGTCCAGTTTTATTCATTGCATGCTACTATCCTATTTCCCAAAACCATTTGTTGAAGAGACTTTTTCCATTGGATATTCTGTTCTACTTTGTTGAAGATTAATTTTCCATATAATTGTGGGTCCATTTCTGGGTTTTCTATTCCATTCTCTTGATTTATGTGTCTGTTTTTGTACCAGTACCATATTGTCTTGATTATACAATTTTGTAATATAACTTGTAGTCTGGAATTGTGATGTCATTAGCTTTATTTTTCAGGGTCTTTGACTATTCAGGTTCTTTTTGGTTCCATACAAATTTTAGGATTGTTTGTTCTAGCTCTGTGAAAAATGCTGGTGCTATTTTGATAAGGATAGCATTCAATGTGTAGATTGCTTTGGGTAGTATAGATATTTTAACAATACTTGTTTTTCCAATCCTGAAGGTGCAATGTCTTTCCATTTCTTTGTGCCATCTTCAGTTTCATCAGTGTTTTATAGTTTTCAGTGTTCAGGTCTTTAACCTTTTTTGTTATGTTTATTTCTAGGTATTTTAACAGTTTTGGGTACAACTGTAAATGCGATTAATTCCTTAGTTTCTATTTCTGCTACTTCATTATGGGTGTATAGAAATGCAACAGAGTTTCGTATGTTGATTTTCTATCCTGCACCTTTACTGAATTTATCAGTTGTAGCGGGGATTTTTTTGTGGAGTTTTTTTTTTTTTTTTTTTAATTTTCTATATACACTATCATGTCGTCTGCAAATAGTGAAAGTTTGAATTTTTCCTTACAGATTTGGATGCCTATCATTTCTTTTTGTTGTCTGATTGGTGATGTTAAGACTTCTGGTGCTATGTTAAATAACAGTGGTAAGAGTGGACATCTGTCTTGTTCCTGACCTTAGGAACTGGGGGTAATATTAGCTGTGGACTTTTAGTAGATGGCCTTTATTGTGTTGAGATATGTTCCCTCTACATGTACTTTGTTGGGGATTTTTATCATGAATAGATGTTGTGCTTTGTCAAATATTTTTTTCTGCATCCATTAAAATGATTCTATGATTCTTATCCTTTCCTATATTAATGTGTTATATCATGTTTATTGATTTGCAAATACTGAACTATCTTAGGAAGCCAGGAATAAATTCAATTTGCTAGTTGTGAATGTTTTTTTTAAATGTATAATTGTATTTAGTTTGGTAGTATTTTATTGAGAATTTTTTCATTTTTGGTCATCAGATATATTGGCCTGTAGTTCTCTTTCTAGTGGTATCTTTATCTGGTTTTAGTATTGGGGTAACGCTGGCATCATAGAATGAAAGTGGAATTTTTCCTTCCTTTTCTATTTTTTGAAATAGTTTGTGAATAGATATTAACTCTTCTTTAATGTTTGATAGAATTCACCTGTGAAGCCATCCCGCTCTAGACTTTGGTTTGTTGGGAGATTTTTGATTACTGATTTAATTTTTTGTCATGTATCAGTCTTTTCAAATTTCTATTTCCTCCTGTGTGATTTTTGGTAATTTTTATGTTTCTATAAATTTATCCATTTCTACTAGATTGTCCAATTTGTTGGCATATAGTTTTCCATAATATTCTCCTTATAATTGTTGTATTTCTATGGTGTTATTTCTCCTCTCTCATTTGTGGCTTTATTTATTTGGGTCCTTTATCTTTTCTATTTGATAGGTCTGGTTAGAGTTTCATTAATTTTTCTGAAGAACCAGCTTCTGGTTTCATTGATCTGTTTTATTGTCTTTGGTTTGTTTACTTTTAGTTTCTATATAATTTATTTTTGCTCTAATCTTTGTTATTTCCTTCTGCTGGCTTAAGCTTTGTTGATTGTTTTTTTTTCGAGCTCCTGTTTTAGGTGTAAGGTTTGATAGTTTATTTGAGATTTTTGTTTTGTTTTGTTTTTGCTTCTTGAGATAGGCCTGTATTATTCATACTTCCTGCTTTTTTAATTAAATAAATTTTTAATGTTTATTTATTTTGAGAGAAAGAGAGACAGACAGACAGAGTAAAAGTGAGATAGGGGCAGAGAGAGAAGGAGACACAGAATCCAAAGCAGGCTCCAGGCTCTGAGCCATCAGCATAGAACCTGATGTGAGGCTTCAACTCACAGACCTCCAGATCATGACCTGAATAATTACGTAATTCCACAGTAATTATGCACTGTTTTAAGGATTTCATGACACATAGTAAATAACACATTAATTCTTACTGTTCTATCAGGATAATAATGAGTTTTTATACCAGTGAGGAAACTGAGGTACAACATATTTTAGTTAACTGTACAGTGTTGCATAAGCTATAAGAAATAAATAGAATATGAATAAAATAATAACAACCAAATCATCTATGTATAAGAAGAAGTTTTCCAGTTAATGGGGCACCTGGGTGGCTCTGTTGGTTAAGCATCTGACTTCGGCTCAGGTCATGATCTCAGTTTGTGGATTCAAGCCCCACATCAGTCTCTGTGCTGACACTTCAGAACCTGGCACCTGCTTTGTGTCTCCCTCTTTCTCTGCCCCTCCCCCACTTGCACTCTCAAAAATAAATATTTAAAAATGTTTGAAGGAAAGTTCATAACCAGTGCCTCAAACAAGAAAAGAAAATTCACACACCTTAGAAAGGAGTATAAAGCTACCTTTGTTTATAAACTACTGAATAGTCTGTATATAAAAATCTCATGAAATTTACTAAAAGGGGCACATGAGTTAATTAGTTAACAGGGTAAAAAATCAATATGTTAAGATCACTTGTATGTCTCAGTGCTAGCAGTGGATGCTTGTAAATTGAAATAAAAAAATAAATGTCTTTTATAAAATAATTCAACATAAAACTCTTAAAGGTAATTTTATGAAAATATTTACAAGATCTCTACAACTGCAAATTTCTGATTGCTGAAACAAAGACAAACATAATTAGAGAAATAAATTATCCATAAGGATTATGGCATTCAGCATTATAAAGATTCCGTTTCCTTCAAATTGATTTATAGATTAAATTCAGTTCCATTTATAAAAATTTAGAAATAAAGAAACTGTGTCTAAGTAGATATTTTAGGCTTTTTGTAAAACTACAAAAGCTGTTTCTAAATAAATATTTTATTGCACCTCTGCTTTCAACCTGGATTTTAAATTAATCTATTTAATTTCAGATGCTATTAAAAGCACATGTTGAAATTGTAACAGAGCCTAAGCTCCTGACAAAGAATAAACTGAGAAAAAGTAGTCTAATACCCATTATCTGCAGGGTGGCTATATTAAAAATGTGCTTCACAGTAAACATAATACATAAGAATTAAAAGACAGTAGGCATATAGTTTTCCCAGATGCTCATAAAAATGAAAAGCTCTAGCACATAGTGTCAGCAGGGGTAAAATGAGATTCAATCAGAGTTCACATATGTTCTTCAAACTTAACTCCTAAAAGCTGAATGAACATCATGCTATATCAAGGGGCAGAATCCTTAATAAAAACTTCTATTTAAATACTTTAATATTTCTGTGTTATTTTCCATCGTTCTTTAGCTGCAAAAGATGCTTTTTTTTTGGAAATGTGCAAGAATTGGAAGAAAATATAGGGCAAAACATGATACTCCAAGCTTTATAGCAATATTAGAGAAAGCATGTTCACTCACAAACACACTCACAAACGTGTACACAAAATAATTTTCATGAAAAAGTATTTTCATGTTATAAGATTTGAAGTTTAAAAAAGTTAAATATAAATTTTTCAGACTAAGAGATCTGATGACTTATGGCACCTGGGTCGCTTAGTGTCCAACTCCTGATTTTGGCTCAGGTCATGAACTCACAGTTCATAGGATTGAGCCCTGCATCTGGCTCAGCACTGATAGAGCAGACCCTTCTTTGGATTCTCTCCCTCCCTCTCTCTCTTCCCCGTCCCCGCCCACCCTCTCTCAAAGTAAATAAAATAAATTTTAAAAAGGAGAGAAATACTTGGCAGAGGAGATACCATGGTCATGAAGGTCGTTTTTCAAGGGCAAGGCTTATCCATTGCACTTTCAATGTGCTGAACCCTGTGATTTCTCTAAATGTGGGAAACGTGCCTGAATAATTTGTGGTAGCAGGGGACTGTGTTCACTTTGTTTTCCTGTTAAAAAAAATCTGATCACTTGATCACAGAGCCATGATTTGAACTTAATTTTGTTTCATTTTAAAGGGTTTAAGTGGAATATGTATGAACATATATGTATGTATGAAATATTATCATTTTATTATATTTCAATTAGGTAATTAGATAATGCAAATGCTACCTTTGTAAGGGATTGAGTATTAATCTTTAAAAGTAAGAAAATCTCCTTTAGCAAAGGAATATTTAATCATGTGGAATTTATTCTAATGATCTAAAGATGATTTGGCAATGGGATTCTTATTATTATACTTACTAAATATAAGGAATTTTTGTTTGAATTTCAGATATCAATATTCTATGATGTTCTTATGCTAAGAATAGTGAGAGGGAGGAATGAGAGTAGATGGAATAGGACCCACAAGCAGAGCAATTGGTCTTAAACAGAACTATCTGGAGTATTAAGAGAGAACTGAGGACATATGGGTGTATATGTATATATATGTGTGTGTGTATATATATATATATACACACAATGGTTTTGTAAATATGCTTTGGGAATGCATGAAAATTCTCTTCTCTTCTTTTCTCTTTCTTCTCACTGGAATTAAAGCAGGAACATAGAATACACATACAAACAAGTGCAGAAAATAGTTAACACTGAAGACCTGTGACTGCTATCTTGAAAAAGATCTGCTAGCAGAGTTATCCTTTTATTAAAGATGTCTAGAAGCTTCAATCATGGGAAAAATCATACCTGGGATGATGAGAATGACTCAGAGTACATAAACTCTATTTAAAAAGTGGTTTTCTGCTGAATACCTATTTCCTACTGAGAGTCTTGAAATGTGGTACATGCTAGACAAAGGGTGCCTATATGAATGGCCTCAAGGAAAAACTCTATAGACACTGAGTTCTGGTGAGTTTCCCTGGTAGAAAGCATTTCATATTTATTGTCCACAACTGGTTACTGAAAGAATTAAGCACATTCTGCCTGACTCCATAGGAGAGGCCTTCTGCAAGATTGTGCCTGGTTTCCTCTGGATTTTGTCCCATGTGCATTTTCCTTTTGCTGATTTCCTTTTGCTTTGTATCTTTCATTATAAAATGTGAAATCTGTGATTATTAACGTATGAGAGTCCTGTGAGGAGTTCTTCTAGCCTGGGGGACCATTTGTCAGCACACACACACACACACACACACACACACACACACACACACTATATGGTTTAAATATTAAAAAACTGGGTCAATAGTTTCACCAGTTTATGGTGAGAGGTCTCACTTGAAAAAATTGGGGAATTTGGAATTTTGGGAAAATGTTGGGAATTTTTAAATCTAGTGCTAATATATCTATGAATATTAGATAATTTATCTTTAAATATGACAAAAGAACCGTAAGAATATCAAAATTTATTATTTTTTAAAAAATCTTAAAAATGTAGAAAAATGATATGGTGTTAACAATTTAGAATTAATGAGATCTTAAGGTTGGACTTAAAGGGTCTATTTGAGCTTCTAATATACTATCTGCTTAACTAGGATTAGAGCTAATTCAAAATGAAGTAATGGAAATATTGGGTAGAAAATATAAAAATATTTTGTGTAAGTATCTAGAAGGTGGAATCCAACTAGAAAAAACAAGGCATATTTAAGAAAACCATAAGCCTTGCAGGAAAGAGTAAAAAAAATTGACATTAAAATTTTTTTTTAATGTTTATTTATTGTTGAGAGAGAGAGCATAAGTGAGGGAGGGGCAGAGAAAGAGGGAGACACAGAATCCAAAGCAGGATGCAGTCTCTGAGCTGTCAGCACAGAGCCTGATGTGGGACTCAAACCCATGGATCATGAGATCATGACCCTAGCCAAAGTTGGATGCTAAACTGACTGAGCCACCCAAATGCCCCCCAAATTTGATATTTTAAGTGTAAAGATAAAGAATTAATGAACTGGAACTTACGTTCAAAGACATTTTTTCAGAACTTAAGACTTAAAAGTAAAAGAGGTAGAAAATATGAAATAAAATTAAAAGACATAGAGGATGGAATATATATGCCATCAGAGTCCCAAAATAGAAAAGAGAGACTGTGAAAGAGAAAATATTTGAAGTGAAATATTTCCAAAAATGATAATATATTTTAATTTATAGTTTCAAAAACACTAAGCAGCATAAGTAAAATAAAATGTAAGCGACATAATAGTAAGACTACAGAATGTTAAAATCAGAGTTATATTAAAATATCCAAATTATATAGACAGTTTATCCTTAAAAAATAACAAATCAATACAAATATTGTCTATAGCAACAGTGAAAGTGAAAAGACAGTAGAATAATATCAAATTTTCAGAAAGAAGGAAATTTTCGCACTATAACCTCAGCCTAATACTAATTCATGAATTAAAATGGAATATAACATTTTATACTAAAAGAAACTAACAATTTACTATAATGGAGTTTGCTAAAATAACTTTAAAAAAGTTTTTAAAGTTTATTTATTTATTTTGACAGAGAGACAGGGAGAGCAAGCGGTCAAGGGACAGAGACAGAGGAAAGAGAAGCCCAAGCAGGCTGTACACTGTCAGCACAGAGCCTGACATGGGGCTGGAACCCACAAACCCTGAGTCATGACCTGAGCCAAAATCAAGGATCAGACACACTTAACAGACTGAGCCACCCAGGCACCCCCTTGCTAAAATAACTTTTAAAGGGTATGTATCCAAAAAGTGGTAAATGATGCCTGAGAAAATATACAATTAAACAAATAGAAAGAAAATAAGTATGTGAGTAATTATAAGAAAATGTTTACTGTATAAAACTAATGAGAATGTCTAAATTTGGAGGGGAAAAAGGCAGAGATAATCAAATGTTGGACAGTCTTAACCATGAGAAAGAACAGAGATAAAAGGTGTTAACATGTTCTGGGATACTTAAGAAGAATATACTTAGTTTTCCCCTTAAGGTTGAATGTTACACTATTAAGAGCAATCAATAAACCATATACATACAATAAACTAGTATGTAACTGCAATTCATCTCCATGCCTCTAATATTTGTTGGGTTTAATGAATTCAGAGTCTGCATCAATATCCCTTGTATCATTATTTTAAGTGAGTTTCTTGTACACAGCATGTAGATGAATTATGTGGGGTTTTAAATTCGATTTGCCAATCCCTGACTTTTACATGGTGTATTTAGAACATTTACACTTAATGTAATTATTGATTAGAGCTTGAGTGAGCCATTTTATTTCTTAGGTTTGTTTCTTTTGTTCTTCATTTCTATGTTTTTATTCTTTCTGTTTTCCTATGGATTTTCATAATTTTTTTTTTACAATTTCATTTTGATTTACCTATATTATTTCTGGGTGTATCTCTTTGTGCAGATGTTTAATAGTTGCTCTATGTATTACATTATCCATATATAATTTGTCACAATTATTAATGTTCACCATTTTGAGTGAAATGTAGAAAATTTATGTCCCTTTAAGTCCTTTTACATTTTCCCAGTTTAAAACAATTGTCTTAACATTTCTTCTACATACTCAAGAATCCATCAGATGACGTAAGTTTTCTTTTGCAGTCAAACATAACTGAGAAAATTCATGAGTTTATTGTATTTACTTGGATTTTCACTTTTTACATTGTGATTTCATCCATTTTGATGTTCCAAGATTCCTTACTTTATCATTTCCTTTCCATCTCAATAACTTTCTTTAGCTGTTTTTTGCTTTTCTTTTAGGATAGTTTGTTTGATAACAAATTCTTCGGTTCCAGACCTGGCAGTGAAATTACTTGAATTTCATTAATTAATCCATAAGCTTATTATAGTTTTGAAAGCCGTTTTTATTCTAAAATCTATAAGCAATTTTTTATCATTTGTCTCTTTCTAGACTGTTGTAGAAAATTGGGATATCTCTCTTTAGTTGATCTGGATGAGATGTGGAAGGAGATTTTCCTTTGTTACTTCCTATATTGTTTTAACTTAAAAGTTTTTCATTACCAAGATTGTTCTCATGGACACAGTACTTTGAATTGCTATATTATTATAATCCTCATAACATATTAATATTTCTGTGATTCCAAATATTATTTTAAAACAGTCACAAGAGTATCATAACTGAAATCCCAGTCTCAGTTGGGATGCTGTTAATTCAGTACGTCCTAGCTTGATGGAACATTCACTTTTATCCCTCAGTCATCTATAACCAGATTGTTTGGACTTTATTTTTATGTTATATTATGGATTTTTAAAAAATGGTTTATGTACTATCTGGTCTTTGGTCATATTCTTCTTAAAGCCTATTCTTGATTTTTCTGATATTTAATTATACAGGGAATCTGACATCATCTACAGGTTGAGTGTAAATCATTTAATCTTTGAAATAGACCTGGGAATGAGTGAAAGTAGTGAATCTTGACTGGGGATAGATCATTGTTCTCCCCTCCTATTCATAATAGACATCCTTCCTTGATTCCAGAAAACAAATTGCTACATTTGAAGGTGTCCCAAATTTCTCCAGCTTTTTTAAACTGTACATAGTTCAACAAAATAGCACTTCATTCTGTGATATTAAGATTTGTCTATTATTCTAGACCATTTCTTTTAAAACCTAACACATGAAACATTGTTTTGTTAGTTTTTGTTATAAGTGGTAATGCCTTTTCTTTAATTTAGGTAAGTCTTATTCAGAAATACAGAGATGATTCACACTTTTTCATGGCCACCTTTTAAAAGCCTTAGACAAGAACCATGAAAAGACACTGCCAATGATTTGCAATTAAATACGAGTGCTTGGACACGAGGTCCTTTTATTTAACAAAGTTATTTTACTTTATTTCATTTTATTTAACATATTTATATATTTAAATGCTATAATATTTCTTTTTTTAATTTTGTTAAATGTTTATTTATTTTTGAGAGAAAGAGTGCCAAGTGGGAGACAAACAGAGAGAGAGAGGGAGACACAGAATCTAAACCAGGCTCCAGGCTCCAAACTGTCAGTACAAAGCCCAACACAGGGCT